CCCCGATCCATGACTTCAGATGCCCAGCTAGTGTCCTTCTCTGTCAACACCCCCCAACCCACCCCCTCCCCAGGCAGGCTTCACCTCAGGGCCACCCCTGAGCTGCTACATGTCCCTTGTTTAGAACAGGAAGTATGGAGAAGGCTTGACCAACCTCATTGACATTTGACGGCCACATGCATTGAATGGGTGGGGACTGCAAATGGAGCCTACCTGGGCAGCTGTAAGGCCCATGGTGTTACTGTGAGAAAACAGTGGAGGATTTGGTCTGAATCAGTTTCAAATTTCTGATACTGTCCCTTAGCAGAGGATGCGTGCCTAGGCCAACTAACAGGGCCTGTGACTCACTCTAAAGAAAATCAGAAGCACTGCTGGGCATGACCTGTCACCTGGCTGTATTTGGTTGTCCAGTTCACCCCTCAAGGAAGAGCCCACAGACTGAAACTTAGAACAGGAGGTGGGGCCATCTCTGCATAGCTGTTCACGGATTCCTGGGAGTGTCTATACCTGATACTCAGTTTACCTTTCTTGCAAAAACTCACATTCTTTTCTGCATCCTGAGGGTGGAGAATGACCAGGATGTCTACCTTCTTGTGGAATAAGGTGGACATCCCAGCTAGTTGCCTACATTTCTTCTTGGAAGAATTTAGAATGTAAGCAGGGCCAGGAAGACCCATCCCAGGCTTTTCATATGTTCTGCAACTGTGTCTGAGAAGGCAGAGTGACTCTTCTGTCTCCTTTCTGGTTCTTACAGCACATCTGGGAAACGCAGATATGATTCAGCCAGGGCTGATTCCTTTGCAGCCCAATCTGGACTTCATGGACACTTTTGAACCTTTCCAGGGTGAGGACACGGAGCAGAGAGAGAGCATGGCTGCCTGTATCTCCTTTGCCCAGGAGAGAGTGTACTGGCGCTTCCTTTCCATAGAGGGAACTGTAAGAATGGGCAAGGGAGTGGGGAGGGCTTAGAATTTTCCCAGAACGACTACTTTTGTCTGTTGTAGCTGCAAACTCTGGAAGTTTCTCTGGGGCATTGCCCTCCAGGAAGTTGGTCTTCTCATTCTCACTGTCTCAGCCTCTGGTTTGGCCATGACTATGAGCAGTTCTCCCTGTAGGCAGCAGAGGGTGCTGATGACACAGCTGCTTCCAGTTTCCTGCAGTTAGAACTGGTCCTTGAGCTCCTGCCATTGTAAGAGTGGGTGAAACGCCAGGCCTGGGAGTGTTTCAGAGCCCACACTAGTTGCCAGTTTGTGTGATTCCAATCAGAGGGCCTCTTTCTGCAGAGGTACCTCAGGGGGGATGCCCTCTGGCCATGGCTCTCCTCTGGATAAGGTGGGGTTCACTGCCTGATTTGTTTGCATTTCAGTTTAAGGAAGTGATGGGCACACAGAGCTCAAAAGCCTCGATGTTGTCTTTCAGACCTCTTCCCTTCCAGCCGCTCCATTTTTGGCTCCATGCTGCCTGCACCTGCCTCAGTATCTGCACCAGATCCCAACAGCCCACCTGCTCAGGTAGAAGGAGCTGGGAGAGAGGGACACAGGGCTGGTCAGAAAACCTCTGCAGCCAGGCTAGGCTAATGACATAACCACGCAGTCATGAGCAAAGTGCTAGGGGTTGCTAGATCTAGTGCTAACCACACTCAATTATTCTAGCCCCCTAGAGATTCACGCAGTGAGAGGCTCTCCATAAACATGCTCTTGCCTAAATCTCCAGATAACCCGTGTGCCATGACTTATTCTGACTGTTTAAGACAGGGTAATAAGCAAGACAGCAAAGAAAACCATGGATCACTAAGGAAAAGAAGTTCTGCGTACTTAATTTTTTATTCAGCAATCAACAGAGGTTGGTTACCATGTCCTGGGGCTACAGAGCCAAGTGAGGCAGGGCCCTTTGCCCTGAAGGGGCTCTCAGGCTGGTGCCTATATCCAGTGAGACACCAGTAACCTGGCCCATCTCCTTCCATCTGGCGCTGGGAAGAATTTCCTCTATAGAGATTGAGATCTGAACAGTTGATTCCTTATAGCATTTCCCTTTTAGGAAAAGGTGACCTCTCGAGAAGTTGATACATGAAACTGTCCTGAGAGAACTCCATGAGCAGATGCAATCCAGGCTGCCTCTGCTCTGTAACAGAAGATGGCAGGGACTTTTGGGGGACCCCTGTTCGACTCCAGAAACAAGATATTCCCAGGCTGAGAGCCAGCTGTGTGCAGACAGTCACTTTGTCTGAGCCCTGTGTTATCATTTAGTTTCTAATGGGAACAAGACCCCTGTCGACGCCTGGGGAGACACAGATCCATCTCCCCAGATCAGCAGTAATGGGATGGGAGAGGTGCCTTTGTCCCTCTATTCAGGGGTTCCTCTCAGGTGCGTGGCAGACGTCACCAGAAAGTTATGGCAAGTTGTGTGATCCCAGTGTTTCTCCCTCACCTCTTTCTCTTTCCCTCTCAGGAGAGCATCCTGTCCACCACCTCTCTTCCCACCGTGAGCCTCCCTGACAGCCTCATCGCGTCCCCTGCAGCCACCGCCCTGGACCCCACAGATAGGCCCAGCTGTGAAGGCGCTTCTCAGTCTGAGGACTCTTTTATCCAGCCCGCAGACTTTGGTCCCTCTGCGCCCCCACTGAGTGTCCCACAGCCTTTCCTCCCTGTGTTCACGGTGCCTGTGCTCTCTCCCAGCCCTGCCCCAACGCCGGCTCCGCCTGCTATGCCGTTAGTCCCTCCTCCTGCCACCACCCTGAACCCTGCAACCCCAACTGCCTTCCTGCAGCCACAGAAGTTTGCTGGAACCAACAAATCCCCTGCTGTCATTACCCACACGGCTTCTACCACCCCCACACATGATGCCTCTGCCACCACCTTCAGCCAGAGCCAGGGCCTTGTCATCACCACTCGCCACCCCACCCCCTCAGCATCCCCCTGTGGCCTGGCACTGTCTTCAGCCACCCAGCAACCAGCTGTTGGGCCTCCCCAACCCCGTTTAACTTTTGTGCATCCCAAATCTGTATCCTTGACTGGAGGAAGGCCCAAGCAGCCCCCCAAAATAGTGCCTGCTCCCAAACCGGAGCCCGTGTCCTTGGTATTGAAGAATGCTTGCATTGCCCCAGGTGAGTGGGGAGAGAAGCTGGAGTGTGCCCCCCAGGGATATTCCCCTGTCCCCAAGGCTTGAAATTTGTAACACACACACATTTCGATGTGAAAAAGTGAAATACTGCATCAATAAGTCTGGTCTTTTCTGTTCTATGGTGTTCTTTTAAAGTTAGTCTCAACCCAGTTTGAAAGCACATGGTCCTGGTCACCTCTTTCCTGGGTCTGGAATCTGTCCCCTTCAAGGGAAACTACAAAAAAGTGTCAGTTGCTCTGATGGCTTTGTCTTTCTCCTGGGGGCCCCATTGCGTCTGGACCAGGCCCGGGGTCAGTGCCAGCATCAGGAGCAGGTCGTCATGGCTTGGGGCCTCCCCTCACCTTCTCCTTGTTCTGGCAGCTGCCTTTTCAGGACAACCACAAGCAGTGATCATGACAGGCCCTCTGAAGAGAGAAGGGATGTTGGCTTCTACCGTGTCCCAGTCCAATGTGGTCATCACGCCTGCTCCCATCGCCAGGGTGAGGGCCCTGGAAAGACCTCAGCATCCTAAACTGCAGCGTGGCCCTGTCTTAGGCAGCCCTTGCCCAACATTACTCTTTCCTGTGTCACCCCAGGCTCCTGGAGTCACAGAGTTCCACAGCGGTATCCTGGTGACAGACCTGGGCCACGCCACAAGCAGCCAGCCTGCCCCTGTCTCCCGGCTCTTCTCTGCAAGTGCAGTGCAAGACTCCCTGGTGAAGGGCGAGCAGGTCCCACTGCTCGGGGCCAGTCCCCAGGTCGCTGCCGTGGGTTCCAGTGAGTGCTCATTGTGGTTGGGGTGGTTGGGACTTTGTGAGTGAAATGGGCTGGCCCACTCCTGGGTTGGGGAGGCCACCTGTGGGGTGCCCCAGGATTGAGCCTGGGCTTACAGGCCGAGCAGAGTTGTCATAAGGTTGCCGATGGCCCAGGCTGGGAAAATGTTCGATTTAGGGGAGGGTAAAACACAGGAGCTGAAAAGGAACAGGCGTGTTGCCGCGTGAGCAGCTAGCGGACTCTGGGAAACACCACTTTTAACTCCCTCAGAAAGGCCTGGCTCTGAGCTGCCTGTTCTGATCCAGAAAAGGAGATGGGCCATTGAGGAATCCTTTTCCATAGTTTACAGAAAACATTAGTCTAGGGTTGCTGCAGCCACAGAAGCCACCCCACCTGTCCCTACATCAGTGCAGTTGTCCCTCACAGCTTCCAGGCACTGTGCATCTGTGAGCCCATTTCCACGTGGTGGGCCTCCCACTGGGGAGACAGGGTGGTGTTCACTTTGCCTGGTGACGTCTGAAGAGCCAAGAGGTCGGGTAAATGATTTACCTGGAGCTGCACCAGGCTCCTTGTCTGAAAGCAGACCATGGGTGGCTGCTCCTGGAACTGTCTTCCTTCTGCCTCGGGGAGACACGAGGAGGAAGGCCTCTGCTTACTGGGACCAGACCCAGCGACCTGTCCAAGGGCAGGATTGGAAGAATATGAGCTTCCGTATACAGAGATGCAGCTAGTGATGGGTGAGGCCTCAGAGTCACGTAGGGAAAGGCTCAGGTAATGTCACCGCGTCCACTGAGGCTCAGAATGCAGGAAGCAAGCACTGTGCTGGGCAGCTGGAGAGCGAGTGGGGGGGACAACACAGCAGCAAGGAATTAACTTGAGGCGTTGCGTACAGTGAGGTGGAAGAGGCTGGGGGCTCAGAAGGGTCTGTCTGGGGGGCAGCTCCTGAGCGGCCCTGGCAACTGCAGCACAGTCAGTGTCAGTCATGCTCTCTGTGGGTAGAAGAGTGTTTTTGTTTTTTAATTAAAAGAGTTTGGGGAGTGGGTAAGATTGAAAAAAGTATAAGGAAATGTGGAGTCTAAAAAACAGACTCTTCAAGACCCCTGGCTGTCTCTAAGTGGCTTTGTAAAAGGCTGTTAGGAGTGGCACCTCCTCTCGGGACGCTACCACATCCCCCAAGGCCTGTGGCTGGCCAAGCTCGGGCCATGTTGCGCTCTGCGTGTGGTCAGTCCTCATTAGGCGCCGCCTGGGCCTGACAGACCCTCATGGGAGGTTGGCAGTGATTTCTCTGGCTTCTGGTTGGGGGCCGCTGTGGGAAGTTCAAGATGGGTTTCTGAGTCTTGGGACTTGCTGGGGGTTCCGTTCATAGGTGAGGACTGCGGCAGGCGCAGCCTTGTTGGACCCACCTCTGCAGCCCTGTCCCTTAGAGGAGTCTGTTCTTCTCAGGTCGTGATGGTCCGAACTCAGGGCAGGCCTCTCCGTGTGCTTCAGAACACAGCCCCAGCCCTCAGTCTCCCCAGAACAACTGCTCAGGGAAATACTCGGCAGATCCCAAAAATGTGGCTGTGTTAAAGGTATTGTGTCTCTTTCGGGTTGAGATTCCCTACGAAAGATGGGGAGGCAAGGAGAGGGAGACTGTTCAAGGGACCTTTGGGTCAGCCACATCCCTTACAAGGGACACACTGGAAAGGAGAGCCATGGGCTTGACTGGTGCGCCCCCAGGCTGAGGTGACATCGGATACGTGGACGTCAAAGTCAGCAGCTTTAATGTTGAGATTAAGCCCACTTTCTCTACCCCCACCCACCGACTGGCCTGTGGAAGCAACACTGAATCCTATAATGTGGCAGGTAGTGTCAGCTGTAAGGACAGAGACAGTGGAGGTTTGTAGGTGGCTGGAAAGTGTCAGATCAGCAGTGTTTGTTCCTGGCTGGGTCTTTCAGGTCCCTGCCATGCTCCATGCTCCATGCTCCATGCTCCATGCTCCATGCTCCATGCTCCATGCTCCATGCTCCA